CGAGGCACCGGCCCTGTCGGCTGCTCACCCAGCCCAGGGCTGGCCCTGGGGGTTGATGCCCACCCTCCCGCAGGACCCAGGGGCTCACCAGGGCCCGTGCCGCTGCCCCCACCCCAAGTGCGCGAGGGCGAGCAGGGCCCAGCCACGGGCTGGGAGATGGCCACGATGGCACCCAGGGGCTTTGCGCGACTCCCAGAGATGTCACGGGCACAGGGCTGAGCACGTCTGCTTTTAATCCCCTGCCCTGTCCCAGCGAGGCCCCCCTGCCCCGGCCGCGGGGAGCCCGGGGGCAGCTGCCTGCCCTCCCCAGGTTGCGGTTTCCTCCCCGGCTGGCAGCTGCCGGCAGCTTCCCAGGGGCACAGCGGACCCTTCCCCTCGGGGAGCCGCTTGGCCCCGACGCTGGAGCAGGAAGAGTTCGTTTCTGTGGCCTCGGCCCCACTACGGGAGCACCACGATCTTCTTCTCCAGCACCTGCGGGGGGAAGAGGACCCTCCTCATCACCGCGTCCAGCTCCTCCAGCGCCAGCTGGGCGTGCAGCACCGTCGTGCCGTCGGGCTCGGCCACCACCACGTGCTTCAGCAGGCGGTAGAGGTCCCGCAGGACGTCCCGCCACCTGGGCAGAGAAGGCAGGAGAACCATCAGCACGCACCGCCATCTCGCCTGCACCCGCAACAACCCGAAACGCAACCCTCAGCATGCCCCGGCAGGCACGATGCTGCCCCTTCCACCGACGCTGCCGGTGCCAGGACACGGCGGCACCACCACCACCACACTGCCTCAGGCGTGAGCCCTGGCCCTCCCGTGACTCAGTTTCCTCACACGCCAGCAGCACAGGGGTGCATCGCGGCGTCCCTCCGGCATGGGGGCGCGAGGGGAAGCTGAGATCTGTGCTGTGGGGATTCCTGTGGGGAACCGGCCGTTTCCTCTACAGGAGCTGAGTCCCAACACGCTCATTGCTGGGAAACGGGGAGCGAGGCCACGGCCCGCAGAAAAACTGGGCCTTTCCAAGTCAAATCAGCGACGAACAACTCCCACGGCTCCCGAGAGCTGGCAGTGCCCCACGGCACGGCACTGCCCCGTGGCACGGCACTGCCTCACGGTACAGCCAAGCAGCTCAGAAGGACGCCCTCGTGAAGTCCCCTCTGCCGTGGGAAGGATCCGGCACTGGGGGGGGGGGGGGGGCCTTTGGGGGGGGGGGGACAAGCTGGGGG